GACACCACTCCTCTTTTAGCACCTTGTATTGGTCAGCACTGAACTTCATCCTGTTGGCTCCAACACAACTTCCCAATCTGTCAAGATCCTTCTCAATTGGGCTCCTGTCCTCCTGTGTTTGTAATACTTCCCAATTTTGTGTTGTCTACACATTTGCTTAAGCAGCTCTCTCTCTCTACCATCCAAATGATTAATAAACGCATTGAAAAGCATTGCACTCAGGAGAGACCGGTGTGACTCAACTCAAAACCTCCAGCCATTCCAACATAGGTGAAAGTGGAGAGAAATTATAAATTGATCTATTGTGTCAGTTGTCTACCCACCTCATAATTTTGTCTAATCCATGTTTTTCACATTTGCTTATGAGAAGGTCACATGGAACTTTGGCAAAAGCCTTGCTGAAAAAGAGACAGACTATAGTCAAGATTTCCTTCATCCACCCAAGTTTGTTTGACACAATCTGTTCGCAATAAATCCATGCTGGCTGCTCATGATCAGCTTTTCCTTCTTCAGAATGTTGCTCCAGTAACTGTCTTATAATATGCTCTAGCAACTTCCCAGGTATTGAGGTCAGGCTAACCAGTATCCTTTTTGCCTGTTTTGAAAGTAACTGGAAAATGGCCAATATAGTGCCCCCTATGGTACCTTGTCCATTTCCTACAACTTTGTAAATATCATTGCCATGGGCTCTGATATCTCCTATCCAAGTTTCTTCGGTACCCTGGGTTGAAGGTAATCAGGCCCTGCTGACTTGGGTCAGCATCCAGACCCATCAAAAAGCTGTTTTGTTATCTCACCCCCCAGCTTTCCGTTTCCTTAACAAACCGTTGATGGTTGTCTGGTTGCAACCTAATTTTTTGCAAAGACTAAAGCAAGACATTGTTGAGCAGCTCTGCCTTTTTTGCACAACCTTGGCTATTTAACAGTGGACCCACAGCTTGTTTGGTTTTGCTTTTCCAGACAATGTATTTATATAGAATCTCCTTTTGTTGTCCTTAACTTGCCTCGCCAGGTAAAGTTCATTTTTTAACCTTTGCCTTCCTGATTTTGTCCCCAAAAGTTCTTCTTGTTTCCTGGTATGCTTCCTTGGTAACCTGTCCAGCTTTCTATGCCTGCATGCTTTCCTTTTACATTTGAGACATCCTAGAATCTCTTTATGCAACTGGTTAGTTTCTTGCCATTCTCCTTGTTTGTCCATTGCATCAGAAGAGCATTTTGTTGGGCTTCCAATACTTCTCTTAAGAAGCTTCCAGCCCCCCGGACATCTTTTTCCTTCGGTCTATCTTCCCATGGTACCATGCCTACTATCTCTCCAAGTGGTTTGAAATCCTCCCTTTTTTAAAACCAGTATCTTAAGTCTGCTGACTTCACGTTTCCCCATTATCAGGATCATAAATTCTTATCATGGTCACTTCTTCCCAAGTTTCCCCATCATCTTCACATCTTCCACCTGTTCTTCCCTATAGGTCCGTACAAGATCCAAGATAGATGGTCTCCTCACATCAACTTCCTGGAGCAGGAAGTTACCCTCTATACAAATTAGGAACTTGCTTGACATTGTTTGGCTGTATGATTCTTCCAGCAGATATCTGGAAAATTAAGTCTCCCAACAGTACTATAACTTCTAGGAAATGTTGACACCTCCTTGAAAAGTGCCACATCCACCTCTTTTTCCTGACGTGATGGTCTATAATAAATCCCCACCATTATATTGGTGCTATATCTTTCACCTTTCATCTTCACTCAAATATATTCTGATCTGCTAACTTCTTCTTCCTGAACCAGGGAGCAAATGTATGCATTTCTGACATGCAAGGCAACACCACTGTCTTTTCTGTCAACCCTGTTATTACAAAACAGAAAGCCAAATTAAACCTTAGCATTTTTGATAAATTACATTTTGGAGCACTCAGTCCAAAGCAGCAAACACTTCTATCCTACTCTGTTCTTTTACTCTGTTTATTCCACAGACTGAATCGTGAAATTTTTGCTAAATTTCACTTTGCAATTTTTTCTCTGAAGGGACAGTTAAATGGGGTGAAGTGGCACTTATGAACTGCAGAATGCTAAACATCAAGACAAGTTTCCTAAAAAAAGGGAAAAAATGTTTAAGATAAAAAATTTTCATCTATTACACCTTTTGCTCTGCAAAAAAATCTTACTCATACATGTGCCATCTCTTTTTTCAAGTACCACATTCTCTTCATCTGTGATACTCCATCTTCTCTTACCTTGGTCCAGCATGTATAAAACACTGCTGGAAAAAAAAAATCTTTTCCTTCCATCACTTTGACAACATCCTGCCTTTTGGCATCTTGAGCTGGCTTTTTCTAGTTTTCCCCATTAATTTTGAATTTCCCTCTCTCTTGTTCAAAATTCTGTACATTACACTTGCTGATATCACTTACTTTTTCCTCCTATTCCCCCCCTATTTTTACCTGCTTATCAAAAATGTTGCAATCCTCTCACACGTTACCAGACCAGGAAGATACTAGAATTTGATGGATTTAAAGAACTACAATACAGGTAAGAAAAGAATGAATACTACAAATGCAGGATGGAAAGCAACAATATCAGGAGTAATGGAAATGCAAGGCAACAACCTTAAAAAAAGGAAACAAAAAGCGAACAAAAAAAAAAAAACAAAAAAAAAACCACCCTTTCCAATAAGTTGTCCAGGACAACTCTGAAAAATTAAGGGAAATGTGTTTTAAGTTACAGAAACAGATCCTGAGGAGAAAGATTCTGCTGAGTAAGGAAGCTCTGGGCTTCTGTGAAAACAGAGGCTTATTTCATGGGTAGGAAGAAGAAATGAGGGTCCAGGGTTCTGGATTAGGACAGATAACTGGGAGGTAAGTCCCTATGTTTTCAAATTCTCAAATGAGAGGTGCTATATTGTTGCAAAATGTGTTACAGTCTATTGATTTTACTGCTATTCTGGTCTTTATAATCCAAAACATGGATTCCTTGTTAATGGCATCCTCTTTTCTAGGTATCTTGTTAACAGTAACTTGACCTATTATTGTATTGTTGAATACTTCCTTGGTTTTTTTTTTAAATAAGTTCCAGTCTTCTTACAGGGAATCTATATTTCTTTCTGGAATTTATTGTTTCATTAACCTAGGTACAACAGGTGTTGATAAAGATGCAAGTCTCCACAAAAAGTGTTGAGAAGATACAAATCATGTACTGGTTAAAACATTTGAGAGAGAGAAAAAAAAGTCACCTCTTCACAAAAAAGGTCACCATCCAATCTTTACGTTAAGCAGAGGTATTATTTCTAGTTATGTTTTGAGTTATTTGAATCCCCCTTTTTGGAGTTTATTTACATACAGCTACCTTCCGGTCTTCAACCAACTTCTTATTTTAACAACTGATTTATCTATGTAATTTATTTAGTCTTGAAAAGCTTTTTCCCAGACTCTCAATCATTTTTGTTGTATGAAGGAAAAACAGGTTGCTGAAGGACAGCATTAGAAATGTTGCTCAAGGGCAACTGACCAACCTAGTCACCAAGCAAAAGAAAAGCATTGCTTAGAGAACACTAAGGTGAAGAATCTGGGATGACAGCATAAAAATCGCAGAAATTAAATGCTGAAGAGATCTAAATTTACCTATATCAGGGATGTTAAAAGTACAGCCTGTGGGTCTCCCAGACAGGCCAGGAATTCAGAATTGGGGTCCACTGCCAAAATCTAGGGTACCCAGAGCCCTACTGGGAATAAGTATCAGTGACAAAAGGTGAGCAATGGCTGTGTTAATCCCAGAAACCACCACATCCCTGGTCCAAGTCCAGTGTACAAAAAGCCCCGCAGTCTGGATAAGTTTGACACCCCTGACCTAGACCAAGCCCACATCAGTGCAAAACTGGTCCCGAGACATACTGGTTAGGAAATAGCTTGTAACGTGATGCCATTTAAAAGCAAAAAACAAAAACAAAAAAATCTACAAAGGGCTCGAGGAGACCATTTTTTAGGCCAGAAAGGTAATAATTCCTCTTTATCCAACCCCTGTTAATATTACCCTTGGGAGTCCTATAGACGGTTTGTTCTCACTATGAAAAGAAACACCCACAACAGTAAATTACAAAGAATATATATATGGCAGAAGGAATAGATGGCATGACCTGCAAAGAAAGATCAATGGAACATAATATGTTCACCTTACATAAAAGGTAGAAAATGGAAATCTGTTAACTATCATTACACAAGGCTGCTCAGAAGAAATACTACATCCTTCCATTTTACATCAAAAGGAACATTTCTACCACAGATTAGCATCAATTGCTGTTAATTACCCAAATTAACAAATAACCTACAACATAAATTGCTGAATCTAAGCTGGTATTAAGAATTAACAAACTAAATAAACTAAATGCTCCACATCCAGGACACATTTGTCACAGACCTTCACAAAGGCTAGTCTGGCACAAGGGAACCATGTCTCATTATTTTAAAGCCCATTAAGGAGATGATCCTAACTTTTTAAAATGCCAACTGTGGGCTCTGCAGACACACAGAAAATGTTCAGTAGGCCGATGCCCCACTCGGTGCAATTCTGCTGTCTGGTGAGACAGATGCCTACTACTAATCCTTTCATGTTAAAAAGATGCAGCTTGCCCCAGCCTCACCAGCGTAACTGATTTTTTTTTTTTTAAATGCACCTCGTTCTCCACCAGGCCTAGAAATGCACCCCCTCACTCCTGAACACCCCTCCGAGAGCTCAGAAACAAATGCCTCCCTCCTCCGCCCAGTGAAAGTCTCAAATGTACCACTTCAACCCTGCTTTCTGGCTTGTAACCAAAGCTCGTTCATCCCCTCCTCACCTCCACTTCTGGCTGCTGCCCCATAGCGCTTAGCTCACAAATCCATGCTGCAGAGCACAGGCCAGGCATGCCCCAAACCACCCCGAAGGGGGCACACTCCGTAAGAGAGTCTGGGGCCCACACGTGGCAAGCAAGCTTGAAACAAAAGTTGGAGCAGGTCTCAAGAGCCATTCACCTTTCCTCAACACCTGGGTGGCCAATTTGGCACATGGGATTTCTTCACCTTTTGCTTTCAAACTGCTGCTCAACAGACTTTTCTTCAGGTGGGCTCCACAGGCGCTCCAAAGCACAAATGCTCTCCAACTGACTGCCAAAGCAGCGAGCCCACCACCCAGCCTGCCTGGGGATCACCTCATGCCAGGAGGAAGGAACAAGCTCAGGACTCCACCCCAAGCACAAATCTGATTTGGTTCCTTAGTCACGGCTCCCAGTTGAATACCCCATAATCCCAACCCAATCTCAGCTCCTTCAGGTCTAGTACTTGATGCACGCTATTATTTCACATCCTCCTTAGTAATGAGGCTCCTCTGATGAAAGTCTAACCCTTCCCTCCTTGCTAACAACCTTTAATTGTGCACATTTGAGTTTGGGAAAAGGAAGTGGGACTAAAGAACCATCTCAAGCCTCCAACCCCGGGCTGCCTCAACCCAG